TAGTTTCCGTGACATCCATTTAGCTAGGTTGTAAGTAGGGCTGCCTTTCAATAACTATCTCATTCTTCTTGTCAGTACTTCCTCCGACAAACTTGATGCATAATTGAAAGGCCAGTATGCCATTTGAAATACCTTCTTCGCCAACAGTGTAGTATTTTCCCCTATTAATTTATGCACGTTATGTTTTACCTTCTTTAGCTCCCCTCCTCTCAGCCACCTCTTTCCCCCACCGAAGAGGTCAAATTCCTCCATAACTCCCTGCCAAGACCTGCTGTTGCCACCCCCACCACCAATATCAGCAGCCTACCGCAAGTTTCACAACGCTCCTCTTCCCCTGGTGTCGTCGCGCGTCCAGCTGAGGAAACTGTTCCCCCGAAGCCAGTGAAGAAAACGGTTGCCTCCTTCCAACCACTCGAAGTGGTCGAGGATTCTTCTTATACAGGTGGGCTAGTGTTTACGTCCTGGAGTCAAATTCATGCATAAAATGCCAGAATCCTGTCAACATCGCTGGGGATGAGGGGCTTGACTGATCTGTAAATCGAATCTAGACTTGCATGTGAGATATTGATGGATACTAAGTTACCACCCTCTGTTGTTGTAGTATAACACAGGGAGGAGTAAGTAGTATTTTGCGGTAACCGACTAAAGAATAGACATAATTAGGTACCTACAATTACTCTGCCCACCAAAGCTATTATATCCAGCCGTAGTCAGCCACACGCTCGAGCTTATTTTTTGCCATAGATTTTAACTACTACTCATTCCATTCAGGTCCTCTTTGTACTTTTATCTCTCCAGTTCTTTGCAAAGGTTATTCTGACGCCTTGACGTACAGTTCATTTCAACCTGATAATTTCACCTGTTTATTCACTGCGTAAAATACTTATTTAGTTTACATGCGTAGTTTCAAAACGCTAGGTGTGCCAATTTCGAGACACCGTAACGGATTGACATTTGACTCTCTCGATAGGTAGTGCACCAAGTCGTCTTTTGGATAGGAAACCGGGGAAATTAATTTTGAACTTTTTGGAGCGCGTTGAGGTTGCGCAGTACAGATTAAAACTGCAGCACACCAGCCGCCCAATGTAGAGAGAGGTAACATACGTGACGAAATCGAGGCCGGTAGATCAGCCATCCTTACAGCTATATCAAATGCACGTAAGCAAAATGGAAAGAGGCCAATGCAAAGCAAGATCTATTTGTTTACAGACAAGTTAATCATCTGTCCAAATGAAAGCCACTTCCGAGCTTTTGGAGTGCGAATGAAGACTTTGAAAGGGTCAGTGGGATGTCCGCCGCCCAGAAAGAGCCTTGTAATGGGCAGAGGGCTATTTCTGCTTTCTGATTCTAAAGACTACTTTAGTAAATGTCTGCCTGATTTATCAATCGTTTGTCTTTGTCTTCACACTGTCCTGTGAATTGGTCGATAAAGTACTGAGGTACGTACGGAGGAAAGATGTCTGTAGCTACTTTAGTGGAAGCAGTATCCATGTAGCTGGAAAAAACTGAAGCATACCGCGCTTTCAGTTCTTTCAGTGACAAAATATGGTCTCCATTCTGTTATGTTTTAGGCTAAAAGTGATATCACGGCGGTTTTTTCGGCACTGTCTGCTCCCTATATTTTGTTGTAGACGAAAAGGGTACTATTCAAATTCTGTTTGTGGTATTTCACTAGAATGCAAGTTATTTTTTCCCTAAAATTAGGCAGATCGATTTTTTTCCTCAACAAACCAGTGCCATACAGTTCTCCCACTCAGACGGGCGTGAGATTTGTATATAATCTTATTTATTTTTGAGGAAGGCACCGCGTCTGTTAACGCCGTTATCTTTTTTTATGCAGGAGGACCTTTACTTCTTAATGACTTTTATCTCCCAGTACAAGCTATTCATTGTGGCAAGTAGATTATCTACTTCCCTTTTTTACGAATATAAGCCCATTATTGGTATGCTTTCTATACGGTGTCGCCTAGTTCAGCTCTACTTTCTCCTTTTGCCATATATCAGCCAAACATATTAAACTATGAATAGCAGCAAATATGCGTGATCCAGGTTCTTGTTGGAAAGAAGAAGAAAACGCGATCACTGGAACGGCAATTGTATTATTCTGATGTGAAGCCGAACGCTCAGACTAATACAACTGCCGTTCTAGTCATAGCGTCTTCTTTACAATATTAGACTATCTCAAAACAACTAATTGTACTTTACTTCAACTCATAACACGTACCTACTTCTAATTGATTCGATCGGCTCCTGTGGTTGGATGAATTGGCTTCACGGACGTCAGGGATACCGGCAGCCCATTGGCGGCGACCGGAAGCGAGCTCCTGGCAAATGTCAACCTGGTGCTTCTTCCAGTGTCGCAAGCCGTAAACGGTTACGAGGCCCATGCGTTTGACGTCTGACTTGACAGTGTTGAGGCACGTCTTCGGTTGATCGCCATACCGGTATCTCCAGTTTGTACTACGAGAGAGATTCAGGACTTGTGTAGACCGTATAATCAATCACAATCGATCAAATGATCCTGCCAAATCAGAACAGCCAATTTTGTAGACTTCCGCTGGGAGACTATCCTTACCCGATGCCTTCGACCGTTTCCGATTCTGATTTCGTAAATGGCTCGCAGTCAAAATCGTATGGAATTCTAGCTGATAGCTGTAGGTTTGCAGATGGACGTATAGGCGGATCCAGTAGCTCTCTGAAATTCTCTCGCCAGCCATATCGGTTCTCACTTGGCCCTAGTTATCCCAAACGGTGGTAAAAGGCTGTTTACGTTTATTAGATGCTCTACGTAATAGATAATAGAACTGGTGGCAATTACCAGAGTTTGAAGCTGATTCCATGGAGTCAATGTTTCTAACGGTCACATCTTGCCGATCGCGTACTTTGACGTCTCAATGAGCGATAGTTCTCTGAGTTTGACACCCGGGCGACCCTAGCTTGAGCCAAGAGATGAAGGGTCGTTGTGGAGATCCAGTCCTTTCTCGGTACTACCTGTTGTTGCAGGGTCAATTTAATCGCACTTTGCATGGCATCCCTCAAGTGTGGTCACCGAGTATCAGGCGAAGTTTGGTTATCGACGTTATCTGGAGGTTCCATATGAAGGGTGGATTGCTTTATGATCCTTGCAGTAACACTTTCGTTAAAGGCTCCATGGGTTTCTATGTTTGATAGTGCCAAAACGTTTACACGTTTCGGAGGCAATCTCTTAATTCGGGTCGACAGGCAGAGCTTGAAGCGAGCACGGACAAGTACATGGCCTGATCCCGTTTCCGCACATCGAAACGGTCGGCTGCGGATACTGAGGTGGCTAACCTTGAACGTATCAAGATGTAGTCTATCTGGTTTGTCGTTCGACACTCATATGAATACCACGTTAGCCACTGCCGATGTGGATGTTGAAAACGAATGTTTGTATCGACGAGGTGGTTATGATCAACAAATGTTGCTAATCATTCTCCATTGTCGCAACTTTGGCCCAGTCCATATTTTCTGAAGATTTGCCTCTTGGTTTCATCGAATGGGCGAATTCTAGCACGCCGGTCTCCGGCGACGAAGAGCAAATCTCTAGGAGTTCTTCTGGCCATCTTAGCTTGAAGGTGGTCATAGAACTCAGCCTTAACTGCTTCATCCGCTTGCAATGTTGGGGCGTATACAGCAACTATTTACTAAGCTGCCTATGAGGCGGACTGTGACAATCCGCTCTGAATGCTATGTACCTGATTTGTCATGTCTACTGCCACCCTATGCTGTCCTATGCTCGTTTGCGGACCACTGTGGAAGAGAGCGTACTCAGCATCCTCTTGTGTGACATTGCTTTTTCTATATCCAGACTCTGAAAGATGAACTTCTGACGGACTGGCAATGTCTATCTTATAGTCCCACAATGGGCTTGCTACAAGCTCTT